TTGAATAAACTATTTATATTCTTTATTTTTATATAAAAATACTATAAGTAATAATATTATGACTGAAAATTTTTTAATAAATTTTTTATAATAGCTTATAAGTTCTAGAAATGAGTAAAATTTAAATAAATTAATAGTGTTGGCCAATTTCTAATTGTAATAATCTTTTTTTGATTAACAGAAATATTTAACAGAATTTTAGAAAAAATATTGAAAATATATGTAATATATCAATAAAATAGATAAGATAAAAATCTAATAGCAACAAAATTTATCTATAATAATAGCAAGAATATTTTAATTAGTTATATACTTTTTGAATTAAATTATAATTAACTATTTTATATATCTATCAATATTTTATTATTTTAGAATAATATTATAATATTACAAGATTTTATGAAATATTGAAATATTGAAATATCATAATAAAAATTATTAAAAATTTATTATTTAAAGTATAAGAAAGATAAAGTAAATATATTAATTAATATAAAAAATATAAAAAATATAATATTAAAAATAAAATTCTTTTTTTTACTTATAATATAAAAACTTTTATAGATAAATAAAATATAATCAAAAAGCTTATATCAAAATTTATTAAACTTTTTAAAATTATCATCAAAATATTTTTTATTACTTACAAATAGCAATTATTATTAATTATAAAATTATACTTAATATTTTATATTTTACTACTAAAAAGTATAATCCAAATGATAAGTATAATAAATATTAATGTAATAATTTTGATTAGATTATCTTTCTTTAACTTAAATAGATTAATTTCTGTATTACTTTTTATAAAGATCAATTTCATTCTGAATATACAAATGATTATCTATATATTTAATATATTAGATTTAATATATTGTCATACAGATAATTATCATATGTACTTATATTATTAATTTAGATAATTAATATTTTCAATTAGATTTCTTTTTAATTATTCTTTTATATTTTTACTTGTTCTTTTTTTTTATTATTATTTATTATTATTTATCATACTATTATTAAATTATGATTAATTACTCTTCAAAAATATGAATTAAGTTAATTAATTTTATTAAATCTTAAAATTAAAAATCATTATTAATTTATTCACTTTTTATCATTTCTTTCATCATAAATATATTCATTCTATTCTGTATTTTTATCTCAGATCTGAATATTTTTAAATAATAAAAATAATTATAAAAGTCCAATATCTAAACCTATCTTGAATTTAAAATATCGAGTTGTAATTTTGCATATAATCTTGTCCTCTATTTAATCCTAACCCCAGCCTTGTAAATTATTAAGCTAGGTTAAGAAATCTGTTTTAGTTGGAAAAAACTATTGATTACTAAATCACATGCCCGAGTTTTTTTGGTGGTCACGTGGAAGTTGACTTTGATCTGCATCTGATTTTTAGTCTCCTGGTACTAAATATCTATCTTTAATACAAACTTATCTCGATATTTTTTAGAGCTCCAAGTTATATCAGGCATCTGTTTTCCCGTATTTTCGTATTCTTAATTTGTCTTGCCGGGTTGTTCAAAAAGTTTGCATGTGATCAGGAACCGACAGATTATGCGTTGGAAGCCTTCTAACCGTTACAGTAAAATTTGGAAGCGGACCTATTATGATAAGGTTGCCTAATTGCCAACGGAGGTGGAAAATTGACGGTAAAATGGACGTTGACGTCTATATCGTATCGATATATTGAATAAGAATTTATTTTCAGCAAGACAATGGCCCCAAACATACGCCCGATTGAAAAATTGTGATGAAGTATACGAATCCTCCTTGACCAATTTAAGTGATTTGTGGGAAAGGCTACAAATCGCTTGGGAAAGCATGAAATTAACTTTTACGAAAGGCTGATCAATTAGATGCCAGAGTTTAGTGATGTGGTAAAGGCAAGGGGTGGATAATATATTTGGTAGTTAATATGTAATGTGGAATTTTCTAATAATCTCTAATTTTCTGTTTAATAAATCATTTAACGAATAAAACCCCGCTTACCTTTAATTGCGTACAATTCTTCAATGGCGGGATATTCAAACTTCGCTATTTTTTTTGTTACAATTCTATAGCGAGCTACTGAACTTTGTTACAAAATGCGCCCCCAAACCATAAAAAGTTCCCGACAAGATTATTTTTTTCTGTACATGTTCTTGTTTATTATTTTTATTCGAAATACGTACACGGATGGTGGCTTATCTGTATTAAAAGAATTATCAAGCTACTTCTACTACTACTATGATTATTAAATTTTGTTTTTTACGAACGAAATGTATGGAAATTTATGCAACGAAAAAATATTTATGTCTATCGTGTAAATATCAAAGGACGTCAAACATTAACGGGGATTCGATAAAACTAGTAAAAAAAAAAAATAGGTAAAAAAGTTCTATGGTATTTACAGTTCGAATGTCTGTTAACTTAAATTGAATGGAATCGATAAAAATCGTTACATTCATTTAACCATTCTTTAAGATAAGATCTTTTTTTGCTCATCCAAGAAGATTTAGCGATAGCGCGTTGTAACACTTCTGCGTCTCTCATCGACGGAACTTTTTCCATCACTTCCATCAGGATATTAAGTGGTTGAAATTTAACTACATATGCGAGGGCATTATATCCCTTAGAATCTTCAGAACGAGGATCTGCGCCCAATTCTATGCATTTCAACAAAAGCGACGGAATATATTTGTCATGTTTTGTTAGTACGACGAAATGAAGAATTCCACACCCCTCGTCGAAATCTCTTTCGTGAATGTTAAACAGGTTAGTATCAACCAACCATTGAAGTAATATTGGGTATTTTTCGATGTAGTCGAGTTCACGGGTCATTAATTTTGATGCGGACTCCAGTAAAACTGTTCGTTTTAATTGAGGATCTCGAATGGTTATATTCCCGTTAAATGCCCTTAGCATTTGCAGAGTGTTAATGATGGTTAAGATGGGCTGTTTTTGTAGTGCTATGATCGTGAGCGGATAATTCAGGTATAAACAATCCGGGTTAGCGCCAGCTGATAATTGCTCACGGAGACCATTTTGATCGCCTTTATAGCAAAGTACACCAGGATTACGTTCTTTCTGACGACTACAATCTATGGTCGAATCTTTGGCATGATAATGAATATTTGTACATGTAGTATGATTTGGATCGTAGGTCTCGTCAGAACAATGTGAAACATGTCTAGAACGTCTTCTCTCCAATCGACTATTAGGATTTTGTTTCTCTGAACTCTGCAAATAATAAAAAATATAACTTTAATTTGAATACGCATACGAATGAAAAACAGAAATGGTCGAAAAATATCATACAAACCTTTAGAGATATTGATACTCTTGACATGTTTACTACTATGATGATGATTATTATTTAGCGATGAGGTGAAAACTGACTACTACTAGTAATATATTATTGTGCTTGTTTAATCATAGGCACGTAACGAAGAGTTGTAATGTACGAGCGGAAGAATGTCGGTAAGAAGAATTTTATTATGTTTGTGAATAAAAGACAAGAGCGTAAGTAAATGTAGTAGTCTGTTGTTGTAATTTTTGAATTAAGTAAATTAATAATTTATGTGTTTTTTTTTTCGAGAAAACAGGTTTTTTTAAAAAAATTGGCTGTTATTTAATAAATAAAAGATCGCGTAGAATTTACTTTGTTTGGTGTTATTTCTCGTGATTAATAATAAATAGCGATAAATAAATAAATGAATGTCAAAAGTAAATGCTATTGGTGTGTGTAAAACAACAATGTATCGGTATTAATGGTTGTGGTAATAGGGTTAATAGGCGGTATAGTCGGTAATTATGTGTAGCGCGAGAGAAGGCAAAGGTAAAGAAAGAAAAAGTATATAATAAACGAAAATAAATGAAAAACAATGAATGAATGTGTGGTTTGTGTTTGCATGAAGAAACGGTAAATCAACAATCGGCCATTACAAGTATTAATGTTTGGCTTCCGCATGCATGTCGATACATTATCGTTATTTGGATTTCGCCCAAAATCATAGTCTATGTGAGCACACCATATCGATATATTAATACATGTAAAAACAAGTAGTTCTTTATCTGTTGTCATTTTCATGAGTTAAAAAAAGGATAAATGCGGTATAACCATAATACATTAGTATTCCCCACAATTTCTAGGTATATATATGTACTAAAGTCATACATTTCACTCAAACAGACCAACCGCATGTCATATTAAGTCGCTCGTGTGATGAAGGACGCTAACCAGAAACAACATGTTGACCAATCGCTAACTCGCGTGATAATGATTTACCATTTTTATAAACGAAGATCAAATCAAATCAGATTAGATAAAATGTTTGTGACGAAATTAGTACGTAAGTGATGAAGTTTTCATTTATGCTAAGTAAAGTACATGTAGTCCGTCCCGTCTAAGGGTGCAATTTCACCTGTTTCTTAATCTTTTTGTAATTGGTGTTGCATTAGAATTCAATGATACGCCAAAATACAAAATATTTGTATACTGAATGCAGGGGGTTCAACCATTCTATCCCAGGATTTTTGTATAAAGAGAAATAGGCATATATTACAAAACAATCTACGCCAAATTCTCTATTTTTTTTCCGGTCGTGTGAGGATGGCGTGAGTTCGTCGCACGAGTTCTATTGGCTGAATCCAAATTTTGTCCAATGAGAAGACTGGAATTCATGCATTGAATTTCTAATCAATAGCATACATACAGTGTGGATGTTTTTAATAAAATTGACTTATGCGTTATCATGATGAATTTTTTTCGGAATCAATGCAAGACGGAACATTTATTGATGCTTAAAGATAAGCTATAACGGAATAATTTTCACAAGATTTCATGACATAACATGATGATGATTATCAATGCTAAATATAGACAATACGAAAATTTTTAAGGGAAAAAATTTTTTGTTTGTCGCAATAAAAGTTCAGCCAACTATTGTAATTATCATTGTTTCAAATGCTATTCTTTATTCTGTGCAAGAACAGCCACGAGGGATTGTTATCATTATTATTGTGAATCTATCTATGACGATAAAAATTTTTTGCTGTTGTGTCAAATCCTATTATAGATTCAAATTTGAAATACATTACATAAATATTTTATATTTTGATTGGCTAAAATTTATTTATAATTCAGGTAGCACTAAAAAAACCATTTGTTTTGTAATAATGATGCAGAAGATCATTGAAGAAAATAAACGTTGCAAAATAGGTGGATGATATGTTATGCATGTGATCGCCCTATATTAATGCATTTGTCCGACAAATAGTCCGCTTTTTTGTTTGGAAAATATCCGGAAAAATATTCGGAACGGGTTCGATTTTTCCGAACAATGCACACGAATTTTATGATGATATTAAATTTTTATAATTTCATAATTTCTTAGTCACAACCTGCAAGATTGTTCGAGTATGCATAACAATCCAACTTACTTTGACTTATTATATAAGATATGTTTTTTCAAAAAAAATATTTAGTAAATATTATTATTAATATTTTAATTTATTGATTTTAAAAGAAAAATTATAATAAAAAAATATTTACTTTATCTTTATTTTGAATATACAAGTTTATCAAAGTTATAATAATCTTTTGATAATTTATTCTTTAATCTCTTTGCTTAATAATTATATTTCTTATATAAACTAAAATGATAATTAAAGAATTTAGATAGTTAATTAGTAAAATTAATATATAAGATAAAATAGATTATCATATTATAGAAAAGTATTATGAAATAATCAGAATTATATGAAAATACTATTATTTGATTTTATTTAAATATAGTAAATTGAATAATAATATTTTTATTAATTATAATAACTAGCTATTAAGATATATATTTTTTATTTTATATTATAATATTATATAAAAGTTAATATATAAAAATACATATAGTAGTAATAAGCATAAAATTATCATATTATCTGAAGATTAATCAAATTTTTAATATAGTTACATACTATCAAATAATAGATAATTTGTCAAGATTTTATAATTATTTATGATTATAAATCTAATTTAAAAGAATATTAATTTGATTTATAATTTTTTCATTAATTATTCTATATATCTTATTATTTTTTATTGCATATTTTGCAATACATTTTGTTAAATCATGATAATAAATATCTATTCATCAAAAAAATAACTAGATATATATATAAATAATCTTAATAAAAACTAAATTTAAAGTAACAGATATAATAATTTAAAATTATATTCAAAATATTTATGAATATATTTCTTAGTAATATTTTTATATAATTGAATTCTGAATGAAATTTCAGATAAAATATAATTTATATAAGTTTTAAATAAAATTTATAAAACAAGAATAAAAAAATTAAAAAATATCTTGTAATTATATAATTTAATAATTATTTAAATAAGTTTTTTTTTATCAAGAAAATCTAATTAATTAGTTATAAGATAATAAGTATAATAATTAATATAACTAGAATTAGGCTTTTTTTTATATATATACTTTGCATTTCAAAGATATATTTTATATTCATAATTCTTATTTCTTCAATATTAGTTTTATATCTTTGAATTTGTCATGAATATTTATTTTTCTTTTTTATTTCTTGTTTCATACTATAAGATTATAATTAATTATCATTAATTATTATTATTTATTGAAAGTTATATTATATATTAGTAATATTTTTTAAAGTTTTATTTATCTTATTAGTAATTAATATATTAGATCTAAATATTATATAACTGATAATATTATTAAATACAAAAATATTATAAATATTAAAATTATTTTTAAATATTTATAATATGATGAATTTAAGTGACAAGTTTTTTACTATTTTAATAATTATTATAATTTACTTCTAAAATCATAATTTTTTATATTTTATTTTAATCATTTTTAAAATAATTAATTCTTTTTTCTAAAAAAATTATTTTTTTTTAAATTCTTAAAAAATATAAAATCTATTATAAGAATGAAAAATATTTTTATTACATATTATTAATATATATTTCTTTTTATTAAAAGTTAAATTAGAATAAGTATGAATTTAATATTTGATATTTTTAAATTTTAACATAAGTTTTTTATATTCAGCAACTTATTTTAAAAATATTATATAATATTTTATAATATTATTATATTTATATCTATTAATATGAATATTTTTAATATTTATATTTAAAATTCATTATATATAATATGTTATAAAAAAATCATAATTTTAATTTTTTTTTATTTAAATAATATAAAAATTTAAATATATATATTTGAAAATATGATAAATAATTTTATTTAAGATTACTTGAATACTTAGCTTATTAAATTTTTTATAATTTATATTTTTAAAATTAAGAATTTTTAATAATAAGAAAACTT